CCCCTCCCCTCCCCTCCCCTCCCCTCCCCTCCCCCTTTTATACAGGAGGGTGGGCAGGAGTGACGAGAGCCCTGACCCCTGTTGGTGGCCCAATCCTGCAGCTGCTCAGGGCCCCCGTCTGGGTCAGCTTCCTCATCTGTAAAATGGGGATAATGATGCTCTTAGTGGTGTGCTATCGACCCCGTAAACCCCATAGTGACCAATAAAAATCAATGGCCTTTTAACCCTCTGAAGTCAGCCCTGGAATATGAACTCCTAGGTCCCTAAAATCGAGAACCGCAAGGGACGCTGTGAACCATTTTGAATTAGTGGGTAGAGCTCTGTCTTTGGAGTTAGGAAGACCTGAGTTCACCTACAACTTCAGACATTTATTACCTGTGCAAGTCACTTCATCTTTGTCTGCCTCAGTTTCCTCAACTAAAAATAGGGATAATAATAGCACCCGTCTTCAGAGGTTGTCGTAAAGATCAGAGATCCTATTTTCAAAGTAGTTTGCAAACCTTAAAGTGCGGCTCCTTGTGTTGGAAAGGGGATTCTTATTCGGGTACAGGTTGAATGAGGTCCTGGGATCGCAGGTGTCCGGCTGGAAGTGAGCGGCACCTCCTTCATCTCATACTTCCGAAGAGCACACTTTAATGGGCTGTGTCAATTGTGAGCTCCTTGAGTTTCACATTCCTCATTTTTATTCAGTGGGACTGCAAGGGTCCTTTCCAGCTTAGAATCTGTGACCTTGTGACCCTGTGCCACACTCCGAATCATACAGATGGAGAGGTTGAGGCCCAGAGAAGGGCAGTGCCTTAACTTGCCCAAACTTCTCCGGGGAGAGAATGAGTAACCTGCCTTAGCACCTAAACCTATTTCCTTTTCATTCTAAGTCTAGCACTTTTTCCACCTCAAGGTCAAGTGTTCAAGTCACCGTACTGGCTAATTGCTATGTGGGATAACTAGTCTAGTTGGAGAAATTCACCTCAGCTGAGTAAACATCATGCTGTACCTGTTATATACAGAATACAGTTGAGAGGGAAGTCCAAAATTTAGATCAGGTGTTAGCCCTCTTCTTCTGTAGTTAGTCATGTAATCTGGGGATAGAACACAGTTATCTGAAATACATACCTAGCATAAATACATTAGAGAATTAGAAAACAGTTCTGTGAGGTCAGAGGGAGAAGTTATCACCCAGGATGGCTTCATGGGGGAGGTGCTCTTTGAATGGGGTTTTGGAGTTTTAAAGGCTGGGTAGGAATTCATCAGGCTGACGTTCAGGGCCTAGGGGACAACAGAGAGTAGTTGTCAGTTTGGGCTGGAGCGGAGTGAAGAGTCATAACCCAGGTGATGCTGAAAAAGTGTTATTATGTAATTCTGGAGAGTCTTTATCAGAATAGCTGATTCTATAAAGCGCTTTCAGGTTCGCCAAGCGCTCTGTGTACGGAGTGCTGTGAGAATTGAGGTGATGGGATGTGATTGTTGCTCAGTGATGGAGTTGCCAGGGGAAGAACGTCGAAAGAACAGAGAGCTTTGTGGCACTCCAATGGAGGAGAGTGCAAAGATGGTATAAAGGGAGTAAACCGGTAGGGAGAGAACTTGGTGACTTGTGAGCCCAGGGAAAGCAGGTGGATGGAAAGAGGGGATGGTCTCCGTCCTTGTCAAACACTGCAATGGGTCAGGGACTTTTTAGAAAATACATGTGGTGATGAGGTAGTTTGGTGACCCTTGAGAGGGAATTTTCAGTAAAATGGGAGACACCAGAGGTGTATTTAAGTAGGTTGCTAGGGATTGAGGAGAAAGGGGGTGGTAATGAAGTGGGGTGATATTGAGTATGTACAGATTTTCCGGCACATTTGTCTGTGAAAGGGAATCAAAAACCCTTTTTTAGGATTGAAATCTGAACGTGTCTGTAGTGGAAAGGGAGAGATTGAAGATTCATGAGGAGGGCATGATTCTTGTAGCAGACCAAGTAGGGCAAAGATAGAGGGATTAGTTTAAGTGAGGAATAGAGACCTTTCTCCGAGGAGAGAGAGAGGAGAGAATGGTGGTGATGATCAGAAATTTTGAGACATAGAGTTTGGGAATTGAAGGATCTCATGTTGGATTATCTCAGTGTTCTGTAAAAGTAGGCTGAATTCTGTGGGGGTAGACCACAAACAGAACTGCCTCTGGGGCCTAGGTGGAATCCACCCACAGTTCTACTACTATTACTACTACTACGACTACTACTACTACTACTAGCACCACCACTACTACTACTAGCAGCAAGGTGTCGAAGTGGATGGAGCATTGGGTCTAGAGTCTGGAAGACCTAATTTTTAAGGAATTATTTTCTTCAGTGAACTTTTGGACCTCCTTTTCCATTTGGCTAGTTTTGCTTTTTAAGGCATTATTCTCCTCATTGGCTTTTTGGACTTCTTTTACTATTTGGCCTAGTCTTTTTTTAAGGTGTTATTTTCTTCAATATTTGTTGTGCGTCCTTTAACAAATGGTTCACTCTTTTTTCATGATTTTCTTGCATCATTTCTGTTTCTCTTCTTTTTCTTCCAGCTCCTTTACTTGATGTTTAAAGTTCTTTTTCAACTCTTCCATGGCCTGAAACCAATTCTTTGTTTTTTTTTTGAGGCTTTGGATGTAGCAGTTTTTATTATCTTTTTCTTGTCCTCTGAGTATGTGTTTTGATCTTTCCTATCACCATAGTAACTTTCTGTAGTCAGTATTTTTTTCTGTTTACTCATTTTTCCAGCGTATTTCTTGACTTTTAACTCTATGCTAAAGTGAGGCTCTGCTTCCAGAATGGAGGGGCCATTTTCTCAGACTTCAGAGAAAGTTTTGAGCAGCTGTTTTCAGAGATAATTCTGAGGACCTGTAAGCTTTCAGTTCTTCCAAGGTGGTGTGATCTAAGGAGAGGCGTGTTTACTGTTCTCCTAGCCTGTGTTCTGGTCTCTGAGTGACCACAAGCACTCTTTTCCACCCTGGAGCTGTTTACCAGGGTCCCAGCTCCCCTGTGATGGCAAGCTGTGGTGTGTTAGTGTTAGTTTTCCTGGCTCTGGGACTGAGACCCAGGACTGTGACCCAGATCCAGGTATGAGCAGTGCAACAGAATCCTGCCCCATGCCAGCAAAGGGATCCCTGTAATCTCCTTTTGATCAGTTGTCAGACCCTTTACTATCTGTGGGCTGAGAGGTCTCAAGACTGCCACTGTCGTCACTGATTCAGTCACCCCCAAGGCCTGTTGCTGGTTTGCTGGGGTATGGCCTGGACTGGACTATGCTCCTCTCTCATCCAGGTGCAACAGACCTTTCCTACTGGCCTTCTAAGTTGCCTTGGGCTGGAAAATTGCTTTACCCTGTCCTTTTGGGGGTTCTGCTGCTCCAGAATTTGTTTTGAGGCGTTATTTATAAGTATTTGGAGGGATTTGGGGGAGAGGTCAGGTGAGTCTCTGCCTTTTCTCTGCTATCTTGGATCTTCTCCCCCCCATTAGTTTTTTTTTTTTTTAATTGCTGGGGTGTGTGGTGCAGTAAAGGGAAGGACTGGTTAGTTTTTTTTAATTGAAAAAAGTTTGAAAAAAGTAATTTTTTAAGTAATTGTAATGCTATAAAGATAAATGTTGCTAAATAAAATATAATTTTTTACTTAAAAAAAGTTTAAAACTTTTGCTGTGGGGGGGCTCATGTGGAGTGGCATTAAGAGGAGAAGGATTATGGAACTGAAATGGGGGTTCAGCTGAGGCTTCTGCACTGTAAATTTGGAGTGCTTTCAGTCACGTCACAGAATTATAGAGAAGGAATGCCCACTCTGACATAGCCAACAGGTGGTTGTCCAGCCTCTGCTTGAGGACTTCCCTCTTAAGGGTCAGCATTAGGGGGGTTGTGGCTTTCTCCAATGGTGCTTAGCCCTTGGGGAGGAGGAGAAATCCATGCTTGAATTTCCCAGGCTTGGCGATTGGCAGATTTAGAGCTGTGGAAAACCAAGGCAAACTACTGTTTATTAAGCACTTACTATGTGTCAGACACTCCAAGAAAGGTGAAAATAATCCCTTTCTTCAAGGAACTCACGGTAGGATGAGGGAGTCAGCTTGCAAACAACTACCTTCAAACAAGATAGACACAGGATAAATTGGTGATATTCTCAGAGGAAAGGCACTAACTAGCATTAAAGTGAATCAGAAATGGCTTCTCGAAGAAGCCTGAGACCTGAAGGAAACCAGGAGGCAGTCTGAGTCCCTACTGTGTGCTAAATATTACAGATTCAACCAGGTAAGACACTAGCATGAAGTGGGTTGGGAAAGGCTTCTTTCAGAGTTTTA